CAGTGGCTTCCCTTTTTACCCTACTGGAGAAGTTTTTGGATGTGCATAGGGATTTGAGTCTTAGAAGGTCCCATTCATCTATGTTATCTTCTCCTGGTTGGAGCTTTTCCAGGATACTGGGAAGACTGTTTATGTTGTGGATTAGGACTTCTAGTGTTGTTCCTAGCTTTTCTGTAATGAAAGATTAGGTTTTATTGTTGCTGGTTTGTTGTGTTTCTTTGTCCGAGGTTTGTGGTTATTTTGATACATCCACTATCTTTTGATATCTTTGTATGAAGGCCTACCTGTAATATATTTTGTAGAACTGGTCTTTTTTTGTTTTTGAATTCCATTATTCCTTCTTTTCTGCAAATGTTCTAATTTCTCCTTCATTTGTGATGGACCACCTTGCTGAATATAGGATGCTTGGCTGGTAAATATTTTCTGTCAGCCATCTGTATGTGTCATCCCATTGTCTTCCTGCTCACATGGTTTCTTCTGAGAAATCAGAACTTTATCTAATTGTTTCTTTTTTGTAGGTGACTCTTGTTCTCATACTAATTTTAATAATCTATCCTTTTTTTATTCATAGCAAATACCTTTAATAAGAAACATAAATACAGGCTGTACACATGGATTTCACCTGATGTGATGCACTGGAATCATATCAATTACATATGTGGAAAGAATCATTGGAAACGTTCAATATCAGCAGTGAAAAGTAGGCCAGGTCTTGATAATGGAACAGACCATCAACTACTCACATGCAAGTTTAAATTATAGCTAAAGAAGGTAAAATCATATCCACAGGAATAAAAATTTGATCTTGAGTTTATCCCTCATGAATTTAAAAACCAACTCAGGAATGCAGTTAAGTGTAGAGGACCAAAGAATGTAAAGGACTGCATCATTAGAATATGGTTGTGTGCCTTACACACAGAGTTCAGAAAGAAGATTGCAAGCAGACATCACAAGGTGCTCTGAGAAGGAAGTTTGCAAGCAGTTTTCACACATCTTTAGACACTGACTTTATTCCTGCTCTTGATAAGGTGGTTGCAAGATGAGCGAAAGCACAGTTTATGAGTACAAAGAAGTCTTGTATCTAACTACATACTCAGCCCATCTGAGCCCTATGGTAAACTTAATGTTTCTACTTGTACCCGGCCCACCTGGGCTCTATGATGTAACCCTTAAAGTTTCTATTTCCCTGTGAACCAGCTCTTTGTTTAAAAAAGGTATAAAAATAAAGACAGCACAGCTGCCCGGGTCCAGTCCAGTCCTGTCCTGTGCTGCTTTGCCTTTGTAAGTTGTTTGTCTCTTGTATCTTTATTTATTCATTTCTTCCAGGTATCACTTTCCCCAGAAAAGTAGGATAAGCAGTCCCCAACAGTTAAGGCCTTGAAAACTAATGAAAACCAGATGAGCTGTGGGAAGATATCAAGAGCTGTGGTTTTGGGGAAGAGTATTGAGGGTACCATGGACTGCTAGGAAAACAAAGATATTCATCCTGGAAAGGGTTAAACTGGGCAGCTCCTTGGAGGCAAGGATTCTGAGGCTCCGTCTAACATACTTTGGACATCTTGTAAGGAGGGACCGGTGCTTGGAGAGGGGCATCATACTTGGGAGGGTGGAGGAACAGCACAGGAGTGGAAGGCCCTCTATGAGGTGGATTGATTCAATGACTGGGGTAATCAGGATGGGTGTATCGGAGACAGTGCGATTGGCACAGGACAGAACAGAGTTTAGGGCTGTTACATAGGGTTGCTGTGAGTCACAAGCGACTCAATGGCACAAAACAACAACAACATGTACCTACTGTGGTTCTTGTCTTCCAGCCTTGACATTCTCTCTTCAACTCTACCATTCTGGTTTTTTTGGCTGTCCAACAAATTAGAAATTTCTGCCGTTTTAGTCTTTTTATTCTAGCTTGTATTTCAATGTATTTCTGTTATTTCCAGTACTGTGTTACTGCACCCTTTCTGTCTTGTGATGGCTTTTTAAATTGTTGTACCCCCTTAGTTATTGTTTCAAATCTTTCTTCTATCTTTTGCAATTTCTTTAGCAGTTCGTGTTCCTCCATGTTGTTCTGTTTCTTCTGTTTCCCTGTCTCTGGAATAGTCATTGTGCCTGCAATATGATCTCCTTTTTTAGAAGGTGACTTATTTTGTTCCTTCACAAAGTCTGAGGCTGCCTCCTGCTTCCTTGATATTATATGAAGTTCTGTTGTTTGGGTTTTTTGTTTGTTTTTAATACAATGGCTGTTTCTGTCTTCATGGATTGTTGATAATTCTTTATAAAGCTACTAATTAGCTGCAGGATTATTTTCTTTATGGGGTTGGGAAATTCTCCCTGCTAGGAGTCCTTTCTGGTCCTGTGAATTAAGAAAATTTTTCTTTGTTAAAGTCCTTCAATTCTTTTATGGTATGCAGCACAGCCCTGTGGAAATTCATCTGAGTGCAACCCACTTCTTCTAAATTGTACTGTTGTCCTTGGTGATTGGATCTTGACCAGACATCAGGTTCTCCAACTGATACAGCTTCTCCAGAAAAAAGTCACAAACAGTTCCCTCTCCATATTCTCAATGTGTCCTTCATCCCATTAAATTGTTTTAATCCTTTATAGCTAGGATTCTCTCTCTCAGTTTCTTATATTGTACTACCTCTGTCTCTCATTTTATGCAATTTAGTATATTTTTACTAGGTATAGTTTTTGTTGTGGTGGTGTTGTTGTTAAGTGCCGTTGATTCGTAGACAACTCATAAAGACCCTATGAATGAAAGACCTGAGCACTGTTCATAGAGTTTCCGGAGGCAAACCATTTCGGAAGAGGGTGCAACTTGTCTGTGCATTGATGTGTAGAGGTAACTCATGGTTGCTCTGATGCTAAGCACTGTGACAATGATGTGCCAAATGTGATAATGGTTACCCATGGTGGACAGTATTTGGTGGAGTTTCCCAATTAAAACAAGCTTGGAAGCAGGAGTGGCATCCACTTTCAAAATGACTTGCCTTCAGAAACTATGAACAGTTCTCAGTCTTTCGTTCATAAGGTAGTTATGAGTCATCTACGACTCCACCGCACTTAACAACAACACGTAATTTTTGTTAACATTATTTGTCTTGCTTGGTGTTTACTTACTTTCTTAGTTTTGTGCTTTATGGTTTGTTGTTGCTTGGGAAAATTTTTTTCTATTATTGGCTTAAGTGGTTTTCCCTTCCATTCTATATTTTTTGTTCTACATTTAGTATCAAAGTGCATGTATGTTATAAACTTTTATATTATCACATAATTCTTATATGTACTATTCTATCTTATTTTCCTTCTCTTAAATTTTAGTTGGGGACCTTCTTGTTGGTAGAAAAGCTCTCTTAGTTGAAAATGTTGTTGTTGTTGTGTACTGTAGAGTTGTAAATGACCCATAGTTGACCCTCTGATAGATTTTCAGAGATAGTTAATCACATGAAATGAGATTACCTATCTTTCTCCCATAGAGCAGCTGGTGGCCTTGAACCATGCACCTTTGGAATTGCAGTGCAGCTTCTTGTCACTAGGCCACCAGAGCTTAGAACAGCTAAGAGAATGAAATACTCAAGGAAAACAACAATAGAACAAAATTTTTATTATTGTTCTTTGAATAATTATTTTATGCAACAAAGAAAAACTAAAAAATGAAGGTGATGAGAAGTAAGGATCAGAATAAAGAGATCAAGTTGATGATATGGAGAATATTTCTTATTTGGTGATGTCTTCACAGTAGTTCACAAGTTCAAGAAGATCATTATCAGTCCCAGTTGCTATCTTCCTACTTTTCCTAATTCTTGAATTTACAAATATAGGGTAACTCCTGTTCACACTTATAATCTATCCATGTCAGGAATCCTGTAGAGACAGAACAGTAATGTGGGTGAAGCTGGGGAAGATTGTGAGCTAAGAGAAGAGTATCTCACATTCTATCACAAGATTCAAAGCCACATGTCACCACAGGCCCAATATAAGTAAAAAAATACAAAGAAGGGAGAGAAAAGAGGAGATGGGAGAAGGAAAAACAGAATTGAATTGATCACTTTACAAGAACTCTCAAAATGTTAGACCCAGGGAAGATGAATGAGGGAGCAAGGCGACTGGGCAAAATGTGACTTCTTATTACCTGTGGTCCGAGACAGGCTCCCACAGTGCTCATGGTTCATGATGGTGGAGGGATCTTTCTCCCAGGCAAAATAATTTAACACAAACATGTTACTCCACTCCCATCCACCACCATTGGTTTCCAACCCCTATAGAGTAGAGGAAGGAGGGAGGTGAGAAAATGCCACTAACTTTGAAGGATACCCTTTCCAGTATTAGATGATCTCAATTCTAATGATGTACTTCTCCATTGTTCCATATGCCTTATCAAAACAACTCTTCCAGGAATCACTATTAATTGTAGATATTTTTAAATGTTAATGTCACAACCAAGTATAATGTTGCTAGGTAATTATTGATGTTGAGCTGTTGATGATTGTCTATATGACCCTTAAAATTGCAACTGTTCTCCAGCAAGATTTTTTTTTTAATTCGAGATCTTCCAGCACAGTTAACATATATACATGAAGATGTTGTTGTTGTTGTTATTGTTGTTGTTGTTATATGTCATCAAGTCGCTTGAAACTCATGGCGACCCTATGTTCAACAGCCCTAAACCCTGCTCCGTCCTATGCCAATCACACTGCTTCTGACGCATCCATCCCGATTACCCCAGTCACAGAATCAATCCACCTCATAGAGGGTCTTCCCCTCTTGTGCTGTCCCTCCAGCCTCTCAAGCATGATGTCCCTCTCCAAGAAATTGTCCCTCCTGTCCAAAGTATGTCAGACGAAGCCCCAGAATCCTTGCCTCCAAGGAGCAGCCTGTTTTAATCCTCTCAAGGATGAATCTGTTTGTTTTCTTGGCAGTCCATGGTACATTTAATACTCTTCTCCAGCACAACAGCTCAAAGGCATCAATTCTCTTTCTATCCTTCCTAGTCATTGTCCAACTCTCTGATGCATAACAAGTGATAGCAAAGACCATAGCCTGTATCAGATGTACCTTGGTCTCCAGAGTGACACCATTGTTCTTCAGTACCCTGGAGAGGTCCCTAACAGCAGACTTTCCCATCACGATATGTTTTGTTTTGTTTTTTTATTTCCTGGCTGCTGGTGCCAAGACTGTTGACCGTGGAGCCAAGAAGACTAAAGTTGTTAACAATCTCAATCTCTTCACCGTCCATCATGATGCTGCCAGTTGGTCCAGTGGTGAGAATCTTTGTCTTCTTGACATTGAGTCTCGATCCATATTGGAGGCTGCAGTCCTTGACCCTCTGCAGCAATCATTACAGGTCCTCCTCAGTTTCAGCAAGCAGGGTATGACATCTGCATAACGCAGATTTTTAATAGATCTTCCACCAATCCTGATGCCACAGTTCTCCTCATAGAGCCCAGCCTCTTGGATAATCTGTTCTGCATACACGTTGAAAAGATATGGAGAGAGGACACATCCCCAGCATACACCTTTCCCAATTTTGAACCATGCAGTGTTTCCCTGTTCTGTTCTGACAACTGCCTTTTGGTCCAAGTATAGGTTTCTCATTAGCACAATCAAGTGTTCTGGGATTCCCATTCTTCTCAGAGTCAGCCACAGTTTGTTATGGTCCACACAGACAAACACCTTTGCATAATCAATGAAACACAGATAGACATTCCTCTGATAGTCCCTGTTTTCAGCTAACATCCATCTAACATCAGCTACAATATCCCTAGTACCACGACCCCTTCTAAACCCAGCCTGGACTTCTGGCAGTTCGCTGCTGATGTGTTCTTCCAGTCACTTTTGGATAATCTTCAGTAGAATCTTGCTTGCATGTGAAATCAATGATATTGTTCTATAATTTCCACCCTCTGTTGGGTAACCCTTCTTTGGAATGGGAGCAAATATAGATCTCTTCCAGTCAGTTGGCCAAGTGGTTGTTCTCCAGATATCTTGGCACAACTTGGTGAGCACATCCAGAGCAGCATCTGTTAGCTGAAATATGTCAATTGTTATACCATCTATTCCTGGAGCCTTATTTTTTTGCTATGTCCTTCAAAGCAGCCTGAACTTCTTCTTTCATCACCATAGGCTCTTGCTCATATGTTGTTTCATGAAATTCTTCTGTGTCTGCCAATTCCTTTCGATACAGTGACTCAGTATATTCTTTCCATCTTCTTTTAATACTTTCTGGATCATTTAATATTCTACCTAAAGCATCCTTGATTATAGCAACTCAAGGTTTAAGTTTGTTCTTCAGTTCCTTGAGCTTAAGAAGTGCTGAATGAGTTTGGCCCTTTTGATTTTCCGACTCCAGCTCCTTGCACATTTCATTGTAATATTTAACTTTGTCATCCCGTGCTGCCTTTTGGAAACTTCTGTTCAGCTCTTTAGTATCTAGAATTCTTCCTTGTGCTTTGGCTTCTCTGTGCTCCAGTGCAATCCTCAGAGTTTCTTCTGACATCCATTTTGGTCTTTTTTTCCCTCTTCTGTCTTTGTAATGGCTGCCTGAACTCTTCCTGGATGATACATTTGACATCCTCCCACAACTCATTAGGTCTTCGCTCATTAGTGTTCAAGGCCTCAAACCTGTTCCTGAGATGGTTCTGAAATTCAGGTGGCATGAACTCAAAGTCATATTTTTGTTCCGGAGAAAAGAAGAGATACATGAGGACAAAAAATTTAAATTATAAGGCCTCCTCAACTGTGCAAAATGTTTAGCAAAAGGCAGGTTATTTTTGGCTGTAGAAAACAGATCCCAGCATTCCAGCTAATGTCAATGAGCTCCTTTCCCACCAAATATTTCCCAGAATCCATGATCTTTAAAGGCCACTATTTAGACAGAACAAAGAAGAGAAGTTGAAACTGTACATTAATAGCTTTTTAAGTGATAAAGAGAATCCATTCACACCAGTGTGGGGTCATGAAGTCCAATCCAGATATTCCCGTAAGAGTTTGAAATGCTCTTCACCAGGGAGGCCACAAAAGATCCCTCAGCTGCATTCGTTAAAGACACAAGGTGCCCTGAAGACCGCTTTTGACAGGCCATCTGTAGAAAATAAAGAGACAGAAGGAAAATCGAGAATTCTCTGTGGGAGACACAAGGAAAAGTTAGAACAGAAGGCAAGCTTGTGGGCTACGTAGTTGAAAGTTCTTGCCCAAATTGCACTTTGAAGAGTAGAGGCGTCTCCACCTTCCTATGTACATTTCACTGTGACCCCATTCATATATCAGACTACCTACATCTGCATTCATCCAGTTTTTTGGTGTCAGAAAAAGGGCATAGCAATGGGAATCATAGGCTTTGGAGCGTCCAGGACAACTGATCCTTGGTTGTTCCATCTGAGGGTCTTCACCTGGAGTAGAAAGGGGAAAAAAGAACACCAACAGAGGAACATAATGAAATAAAGTCTGATGAAGGAAAAGTAGGGAAGAAACACTGAAAGAATTCATAAAACTAGAACATGAAAAGTAATCACTTTTTGCCAACTTGCTCCAAATTCTTTGATCTTGAATAAATCTTTCAAAATGTTAAACCGTATTCTTTCTTTGTACCCTTCCCTCCTTTCAATGTATCCCTCTTTCTAGATGACTGTCTCCCCATGTGCCATCACTCGAACACATCATTAACTCTTCATACTTTCTCTCTTCAACCTTCCAGCAATAATTGATGTTTACAAACAAAATGAGACTTTATTAACTAATATTAATGGACCATTCTGATGCCTCCAGCAACTAGTTGACCTATACAAAGTAGTAATATTGGCGGAATTGCAGAAAATTTAATTAGGTGAGAATATATTTATCACCATTAACAAATGTGTAATACATATACCTTGTAACATATGCTACAGGTTTTTCCTCTTCTTTGTTTTTTACTTTCACGAGGAATCCAGTGCTGGAGGCAAAAAAGACTCACCTTGGACTTGGGACAGGAGCATCAGGTATGAAAGCAGGATCCAAGACATGCTGGGAATGGTCATGGGGGACAGCATCCTACTATCTGTGCATTAATAACACAACCAAAGGTCATCAAAGGAGGGGTAATAAGAGAGTGCTCATGCAGAGATTTCCTTGTCTAGCCTTTCATCTTTCCCCTGCAGCTCTGTGAATAAATTCACTTCATTTATATACACCCTATCCTATATCTCTCTAAGTAATGGAGGAATCTATAATCTTAATACCTGTAATATATCCCTTTGTTGAGTGTGAACTGCTACATTCTGTGAGGGTTATGACCTTCCTATCCCTTCCACTGTATATTGTGCAGGGACAATTCCTGAACAAGATCTCATCTCCCTGTAGTTCTCACTTACGTGTCCTGTAGACCTCTGGAATTAATTGTTAGGCCAAGAAAACCTGAGTATTTATCCCATAACTTGAGGATGGTATAAATAGCAATACCGGGAATGTATAGGTGAAACATGGCTCATAGGGCAGAATTGGTATCAGACCAAGAATCTCCCTGCCATGAGGAGGAGACTTTTCCCAGCAGAGACTGGGAATTACGCAGATGTTTCCTAGTTCCCATTAGTATACCAAAGCTTTTTCCAGGAACAGGTAGCATTTGCCCTTTACCCAGCCTCTCCGAAATTCTCTATATTGACAGATTAAAGGAATTATGACCGGCTATGACACAAATTATGATATGTTAGATACAGAGGAAATGTGATGGTGAATGATTTAAAAACTAAAAAGATATGTACTTAATAAAACTTAATCTTTCAGGCTATCACTCCTGTTAGAGCACATATTCATTTCTTTCAAATTTTTCCATTAAACATACATATATACAAAATAACAACAAAGGGGGAGGAATGGTACAGAAATTGAGTGTCGGTAAGGAAAAGATATTACTAAGGGGGGAGGAAAGAATTGAAGGCAGAAATAGACCATATTTAGAGTTTCTACTTCAACCTAACAAAGAATGAAGGAACTCTTAAACGTACAGGTGAAACAAGACTGTACAAAATAATAGATAAATATATTTGGCTTCCAGTTACCTAGGAGCTAGAGTTCCATTGATGTATACAACAAAGAAGAAAAGATGAGAAAAATGAAGGAGACTTAAGTAAAATTATGCAATGAAGTGTAAGATTGGGTGCTTCTTAAAAAAGAGACACATCCATTGGGGGAAGAGGATATATCTATTGGTTTTGTTTGTTTTATTCATTTTAATGAATGTTTCCAGAGACTTTGGATTTCCATTCATTGTTGCATTTTTCTCCCTTCCCACCCCCACCCCCCCCCCAGTTCGCTCTTCTCTTTGAGAAATAAAAGAAAAATTCTTTCATTGGTATACAGCACCACACCCCTCTCCCCACCCAACCAGTACACTCGACTATGCAACCTTCATTCTGGACTCTTGTCATGACCATAATACCCAATCATATATCACTTTTAAACAGTGTGAGGGTAGATGTATTGTATAGAGATGTTCTCCATTGCATTATTTCATGCCTCACATAGGTTCACTGAAAATCTACTATATGGCTGTAGATGAAAGTCATCCCTATTCTTTGATATTGAATATCCCTATTCCTTTGATATTGAGTTTTCCAAAGTGATGGTGGAAACTAAGAAATAATTTATTACTCATTGTAATTCTGAATTGGAAATTTTATTCCTTAGAGTCATGTTCTCAGATTATTATCTACTTACCAATTAGGACCTGAAAACCTTTCAGAAGGAGCACAAAGTTGCAATTTTTATCATTATTTTAAAATTCTACTTGGTTTATCAGCATGTTGACACTTACACTGATTATGTAGAAGCAATGGTAAATAAAAATGAAGCTTTAGAATTAATGATAATGGCATCATGACTAATTATATACATCATATTTTTGAAGAAAAATTATTTTACTTCAAAATATTTGATAAGCAGTGAAGATTATTAATTTTAGTAGTTGACTACACTAACATCCTATCAACGTATTCCTGACGCGTATCAACCCAATGAGCAGTGAGACAAGTAAGAGAACATTTCCCTGTTCTTAACCATCCTCACAATAGCTATTGTGATTTGTCTCATTGTTATTGTCATTACAGATAGTCACTTTGAGTGTCTTCATCTTTCTAAAATGACCCTGTATTTTACAAAGCAGGATGTTCTCCTCCAGGAATTGTTATCCATAACCTAGTTCATATCTTGGAGCATTAGTCAACACTCAAATGAGCCAAAACCTGACTGGACACCCCAACCCTAATCTTCTTCTGGGCTTGAAGATCCATTGTCCCAATCCACACAGCTGGTTTTATGTTTCTTTTACTAGGAATGTTGGTATTATGATATTTGTATGCTTTATAGTTACTGAGATGGGCACAACAACTGTCAGTTTACTGTAATGTAATGATTTTCATGTTACTGTGATGTTAGAAGCTATGAAACAGGTATTTCAAATACCAGATGGATCATCAAAGGTGTACAGATTTCACTGGAATTTTTATACTAACATCAACTAAAAAGTAGAATTAGCTGTCCACTTTTGAAATTAACATGCTTTCAAAAACTCTAAGAAGAAAAGGGGAAGATTGGACATGATTGTTGTTGTTATGTGCTGTCGAGTCAACTCCAACTCATAACTACCCATTGTTGTTATGTGCTGTTGAGTCAACTCCAACTCATAACTACCCATTGTACAACAAGTCAGATCCATGCTCTATCTTGAGCCAACTTCATCATCTCTGACATACCTCTCCCCTTTACTGCAGTCACTGAGGCAATTCATCTCATCTAGGACTTCCTCAATTGCTCTGTCCTTCCATCCTTCCAAGTGCGATGTCTTTCTCCAAGGACTGGTCCCTCTTGGCAACATGCATAAAATATGTCAGGCAAAGCTTCGAAATCCTTGCTTCCAAGGAGCATCCTGGTTTTACCCTCTCTAGGATGGACTTTATTGTTCTCTTAGCAGTCCATGGTATATTCAATATTCTTTTCCAGCACCACAACAAAAAGACATCAATTTTTTTCTTCTATCATCCTTAGTCATCCTCTAGCTCTGTGACGTGTAGCAACTGATGCAAAATTTAACAGCTCTTCTTGATCAAAACTCTCAGCAAAATAAGAATAGAAGGGAATTTCCTCAACATTGTAAAAAATATATAGGCAATATAATTTTCATTGGAAAAAGACTAAAAACATTCTCCTTGCAAACTGGGACCAGACAATGTAGTTTTGGAAGAACTTGCTAGGGCAATATGGCAAAAGAAGAATAATAAGAAGCATCCAGATTGGAAAAGAAAGGGTTAAACTGTTGCAATATGTAAATAATATGATAGTGCACACAGAAAACCCCAAGGATTCAACAACATCAACAACAAAAAGGTTACAGTGAGTAGAACAATTTAGTAGAGTGGCAGGATACACAAATCTGTGGGATTCTTCCACACTAACAATGAAAACACAGAGAATAAAAATAAGAACGTGGTATCATTTATAATAACCAACCACAAATTCAGAAACTTAGAAATAAACCTAATTAGAAACACTAAAGATCTTTACAAGGAAACTACAAAATATTTCTGCAAGAAAGAATAAAAGACCTAAATAAATGGAAAAAAAATGTTCCCTGTTCATGGGTAGGAAGACTAAACATAGTGAAAATGATAATCCTACCAAAAGCAATCTATCTGTTTAATGCCATTCCAATACAGATACCAAATATATTTTTTTCAAATACATGGAAAAGGCAATTGGCAAGTTCATTAAAAAAAAAGAAGATATCCTAAATAAACAAAGCACTTCTGAAAAACAAGAATGAAGAGGGAGGGATATACTCCTTGATCTCAAAACCGACTGTATAGTTGTAATAACCAAAAGAACACAGTACTGGTATGATGATAGACATATAGATCAATGACACAGACTTGGAAACATAGAAATTAACCCATCTATCTATGGTCAACTAATATTTGACAAGAAAACATAATCTATCAAATGGAAAAGCAACAACTTCTTCAACAAATGGTGCTGGAAAAACTGAACTGGTAAGTACAGAAAGGTCAAACAGAAACCACGTCTCTGACCATATACAAAGATCAACTCAAGATGGATCAGAGAACCAAGGGTAAAGCCCAAAACCATAAACATAATAAGAGACTAATTGGGACCAAGCCTAGAAGGCTTCATTTATACAGGTATAAAAAGACTGACAGAGGCAATTGAAGTATACAACCAGGAAATGCTAAAATTGATGCAAGGGACCTTCGAAAGATTAAATCCCTGTGTGCATTGAAAACAAACAAACCTTTTCAAACAAGATGAAAAGAAAATCTATCTACTGGGAACAAATATTTGTTAATGCCACCTCAGACAATGGTCTTATAATGAAAGTTTCCATATCCTACAGAGATTCCACAAGAAAAAGACTGATAACCCAATTACAAAATGTGCAAGAGACATGGAAAGACTTTTCATTGAAAAAGACATTCAGATGGCCAAAAGCACATGAAGAAATGCTCCAAATTACTGGCAATAAAAGAGATGAAAATCAAAACCACAATGAGATACCATCTCAACCTAGTAGCACTGACAAAGTTTAACAAGACGCCAATAATAAGTATTAATTAGAGAGGATGTGGACACTGTTGATGGGATTGTATTCCGGAAGGCAGTTTGGCATCTCCTCAAAAAGCTGAGCATAGAAATTTCATATAATTCAGCTATTCCATTGCTAAGAATATACACCAAGGAAATTAAAACTGAGACACAAATGGAGACACCAATGTTAATAGCAATGTTATTCACAATTGCAAGAACATGGAAATGGCCCAAATGTCCAACCACAATCAAATATATTGAGAAATTGTGGTATATTCACATGATGAAATACTATGCAGCATTAAGGAGCAACTATTTAAAAAATTACTACATAACTTGTGAGAGAATGGAGGGCATTATGCTGAATGAACTGACTCAGTCTCATAAGGATCAATACTGCATAGACGCATTATTGAAAAACCAGAAGTATAACTAGTAAAATGTGTACAGGAAT